TATATATCGTTTCATATATATATATATATATATATACAGTTTCATATATATATACATGAAACTATAGAACCTAAGGATAATTGAATCATGGTATTAAAGTTTCATAATTTATCATAAAACTTAGATGAAAGAAGAAAGATTAGTGAAACAGATTCTTTTATAAAAAAGTAAGATAAGGTAGTGAGGTTATGGACAAAGAATTAACTACATTTACGTTAAAAGCCACAAAACATATATACACTTTTTACATCATGGTAAGAAAAATATGCCTTATATAAGATTTTAATTACATCTATATGCCTAATTAACACTGCATTAAGAAGTAAAGGTTAATACATAAACTGATTTAGATGAAGATGGAATAAAACTTACGTTTCAAAAAGGGCAAAGATAAATAGAACCACAAAAAACAGAACATTGATAGCCACAACAGCAACTTGGTCAATATTTCCTTGGGGAGCCTGAACTTCATCTGTACTTGCTGTAGGTAAATCAGAGAAAAATTACATTACCTATATATCTAATTTTTCTTATGACACTAAAATAATGTAGAAATTACATTGTAGCAAATTTTATAAATATTTTAAAAAATTTTTAGGCTTCAAAGCAGTTTAACAATAAGATAATTTATTTATTTTTATTTTTTGAGACAGGGTCTCACTCTGTCACCCAGACTAGAGCACAGTGGCATGATCACAGCTCACTGCAGCCTTGGCCTCTCCAGACTCAGGTGATCCTCCTACCTCAGCCTCCCAAGAAGCTAGGACTACAGGCATGCACCACCACGTCCAACTAATTTTTTTGTATTTTTTGAGAGATGAGGTTGCACCATGCTACTCAGGCTAGGCTTGAACTCCTAAGCTCAACCAAACTGCCTGCCTCGGCCTCCCCAAGTGTTGGGATTACAGGTGTGAGCCACTGTGCATGGCCAACAATAAGATAATTTATATGACAGAAACAATTTTTAAATGGCATTTAAAAACAAAGTGAATTTTCTTCCCAGGAGATAGACTTCAATCCTGTTATCTTAAGAAATACTCAGGTATATTTTCTACTCGGTATATCTCAATCCAAAAACAGGAATGAAATTTATAGAACTCTGTAATATAGTGATCTCATACTAAATATATGTGCTTTAAATTTCAATTGCAGATTTTTTCCACCTTACTTAAATCTTAGACTTATAAGAATTTCATGAAGAACTCCAGTAGTTTATTAAATCGGTTCCCAGTTCTATGATTTACTTCAATAGATATATATATATTTTTTGAATTTCAAGGCTACATGAAATTAGTATTCATGGCCAGGCATGGTGGCTCACGCCTGTAATCCAAGCACTTTGGGGGGCCAATGCAGGTGGATCACCTGAAGTCAGGAGTTCAAGATCAGCCTGGCCAACATGGCAAAACCCCATCTCTACTAAAAATACAAAAAACATTAGCCAGGCGTGGTGGCACACAGCTGTAATCTCAGCCACTTGAGAGGCTGAGGCACCAGAACTGCTTGAACCCAGGAGGCTATGGTGGCAGTGAGCCAAGACTGCGCCACTGCACTATATCCGGGATGACAGAGAGAGACTCTGTCTCAAAAAATAAATACATAAAGAACAAGAAATTAGTATTTGTAAAGATCCTTACGTTATCATTACCATTTAAAAAACCCTTATCATATTTCTGCAAAAAAATAGTCACGATTTGATGGTGGTTTTATAAATAAGGTGGACAAAGTAAGTGTACTGACTTCTCATCTTGAACAATGTCGTTAAGCTTAATACATGTTAAGCTATTCTTGATGTAACTGAGAAGTATGCAGACATATATATCTGCTCATACATATTCAACACACTGTTTTGTAATTTATCTACTTGTTCAGAAAATCCGTTTTTTACACAAATAAATACCAAAATAAGCCAAGTATTAATATATAAAATATTACAAAAATATGTTTACTTACGCTATCTTAAATTGTGTGTACTATCAGTTGGGGGGGTGCTTTCCTAAGATGCAGTAAGTTTCTATGATTTTTTTTCATAATAATGCCTGCCTTTCTATCTCAGAATTCTTGAGGAGTTCCTCCTCCAACAATAAGTAGATTTGGAAATAGTCTGCTATACTTAAAGGGAATTAAGCACCCTGGACACTCAACATAGCCTTATGACCTTCCTTTACAATCACACAAAGAGAACTGGTCACCTTTGTCCAGATCCTTTTCCAGGGGTAGGTCCTGATGCTTGTGGCTCTTATATTATTTTGGATAGACCTCTCTGATTCTGAATGACCACCTAGAAGTCAGTCTTTACACCTTCAAATCAATATCAACATTGCCCCAAGGCAGACTGGAGTTTGCTTCAGAATATGCTCTACTAATATTTATATTTTTAATAGAGACAGAGTTTCACCATGTTGGCCAGCTTGGTCTCGAACTCCTGACCTCAGGTGATCCACCTGCCTCAGCCTCCCAAAATACTTGGATTATAGGCATGAGCCACTATGCCCAGCCAGATTATATTTATACTTTAAAGATCTTCTCCAAAGATCTCTGTTGTTGGGTGCAGTGGCTCATGCCTCAGCATTTTGGGAGGCTGAGGCAGGCAGATCACTCGAGTCCAGAAGTTTAAGACCAACCTGGGCAACATGGTAAGATCCCGTCTCCATTAAAAAAAAAAAAGTTATTTGTTGTTTATTAAAATACAAATTTAACTAGGTGGGACATATTTATATTAAAGCATTATTTCAATTTAATTGGACATTCTGTGTTTTATTTTTCATTATATATATATTTTTTACATTTCTTTATTGACTCCCCTATTTTGAGAAGCAACATCCTGTGTTTTATAGGCAACCCTATTAGGTCTCACCCTAAGCCTACTGAATCAGAATTTGCATCTTAACAAGGTTCCCAGGTAGTTTCTAGGCACATTAAAGTCAATGAAGCACTGATCTATATCGTTATCCCCTTCCAACTTCTGAAATACTGATTTTTACATATCTTATCTTTGCCATACCTCTGCCTCACTCTCTTAACTTCCTCTGTCCTTTTTCCTGATAGCTCCTTGAAGTTAGCATCCTATTTTTTTTACCTTTGAAAAAAGTAGTGTATATCCACCTGCTGGCACTTCACCTCTCATTCTTTTTATTTTTTATTTTGAAAGTTTTCAAACATATTCTCACATATTCATCCTTCAGATTAAACAATCTTTTGCCACACTTGAATCATTACCCCATCCTTTCTCTCACTCCCTCTTTGCTGCCACAGTGTTTTTCACTGGATGACTCACAATTTTATCTCTAGCTTTTATTTCTACAGTCAAAATTACAAATGCCTCTGAGATTTTTTAGTTGTTCTAGAGTAACAACATATTTAGCTTGATCCAAACTGAAATTTTCTTCTCTTTGCATACAACCTCCCTTCCTGAATTATAGTTCGCTCTCATTCTTCCAGGTGATCTAGAATCAAAACTTGGCAGAAATGTCGGCTGCCTCTAATCCTTAATATTCTCTATCTAAATATCTATCTTGATTCCTCCTTCAACAACTCCTACTTAAACCTTCTCCATTCTCAGTCACTGCCCTACTTCAGGCCTAGTCAAAATTAATACTTTTATACTGTCTTCCTGAGTCATCTACACAATGTTCTTTTAAAAAGAAAAACACAAATATTGTACCTATGAAAAGTTTAATAGAGAAATTATTTAAATTTATTACTGGCATTATATATATATATATATATATTTTTTTTTTTTTTTTTTTTTTTTTTTTTCAGACAGAGTTTCGCTCTTGTTACCCAGGCTGGAGTGCAATGGCGCGATCTCGGCTCACCGCAACCTCCGCCTCCCGGGTTCAGGCAATTCTCCTGCCTCAGCCTCCTGAGTTGCTGGGATTACAGGCACGCGCCACCATGCCCAGCTAATTTTTTGTATTTTTAGTAGAGACGGGGTTTCACCATGTTGACCAGGATGGTCTCGATCTCTTGACCTCGTGATCCACCCGCCTCGGCCTCCCACAGTGCTGGGATTACAGGCTTGAGCCACCGCGCCCGGCCTGGCATTATATATTTTTTACATTCTGATATAGCTTCTTTTGCTAGCTGTTCAGTAATGAAATTGTTACCAATGAGACATTACCAGTAAGATATAAGCAATCTGGATTAGCCTCTATATGGAATCAATATCAAACTTCTCCTAGTTCAAAATCTTAGTATAGCTCCTCAACCATGCCGCTCTCTATCCTACTACATTTAACTTTATCTTCCACTCTTTCTTTTGTGAAAATTAAATAAAAGAGCTGTGAAAGTACCTGGTAAAAATGCTGTGACTTTCATTTAAATAACAACAAAGAATTTAGAATATTGCAGGAAGTTAGTTGATAAAGCAGAGGCAGCGTTTGGGAGGATTGACTGCGATTTTTCCACAACTTTATTAACTATTGAGGGCAAGCATCAGTTCTTGTATTCTTTCCCCAAGGAGGATATAATTAGTACCTAAATAACAGTTTATTTGGTAAAATATAACTACTTAGCAGGTTCTCTGACTTAAATAAATCAGAGAAGATCTACAGGATGAAAATGTATATTTGTAAAGTATAACAAGCAATAAAAATAAAAAGGCAAAACCATACCTGTTCTCATGCTTAAGAGAATAAAGAACTGCTTTAAATAGAAAGACATTTCTTTGGTAGTAAAGATACAGAAATCATTGCAAATATCTCAAAGGTTTTAGGACACTGGCTCTCTGAAAATAAGACAAAGTGATTTTTTTCCAATGTTTGTAACCTTGTCAACCATGAACACCAAATAACTGGTATGGGAATGACTCTTAAAAAAAACATCCATTTAGGTCACTTTCAGCTTTCAAGATCTTCCCCAATCACCCACTGTTTTGTCCTCAGAAGCAAAATCCAAGTAAATACCAAACAAACAGAATCAATAGAAACACTTTGATAATGTTATATTAATTCAGTCAAATGGGTTAAAAGTACCTTCATCAAAATTAATATTTTTACACTGTCTTCCTGAGTCATCCACACGATGTTCTCTTAAAAAAAAAACACACACACACAAATATTGTAACTAAAAAATGCTTAACAGAGAAGTTATTTAAATTTATTACTGTCATTATATTTTTTTCACATTCTAATATAGTTTCTTTTATTGGCTTTGTAGTAATAAAATTGTTATCAATGAGATATAAACAATAAACTTAAGACAGAAGTTACAATTCTTATCATGTTATCATAGACAGGTAAAATGAAAAAAATCCAACTCAACCTAAAGCATTCATGATCTACTTTAGTATTTGAAGTTTTGCAGTGATTATAAATACTAGTAATAAATGTTTTTAGACTATTGAATAAAGCACTCTAAAAAAATAAACAAAATGTAATTCTAAAAAATTTTTTCAAATATATAATAAGATATACATTAGTAGTAACTTTTATATTTAAGACTGATACAAACCCATTAATTTATTTAAAATGTTACTTTCATGCTTTTCCCCTACTTAGAAACATGTAGTTAGTAAATCAAGACCAAACCTTGAGGCGCCATGTGCAGCCTCACGTGGCTCATGCCTCTAATCCTAACACGTCGGGAGGCCAAGGTGGGCAGATTACTCTGAGGACAGGAGTTCAAGACAAGCCTGGCCAACACAGTGAAACCTTATCTCTACTAAAAGTACAAAAATTAGCTGGACCTGGTGGCACACACCTGTAGTCCCAACTACTCGGGAAGCTGAGGCATGAGAATCCTTGAACCCAGAAGATGCAGGTTGCAGTGAGTTGAGATAGTGCCACTGCCTTCCAGTCTGAGCGACAGAGTGAGATCTTGTCTCAAAAGAAAAAAAACCTGAATGTTCAAAGACCTTCCTTTTCTGTTTTCATTTATCAGGTTGTCTTTTGATTGCCAGTATTACATGTTTTAGTACTACATGACCAAAAAATATAAACAAACTACAGACATGAAAAACCAAAAATATACTTCATAAGGACAATTATCTTGCAGTAATTACAAGCTCATTAAATTTCACAATCTACAAAAATAATTTTATCATTTCCATCTAATTACCTTAGTATAGCAAAGATCAGAATAATATTTAGAATTCCCAGGAAGGCTCCAAGTAAAGCTGGTGTTGTATACATGTTTATCTGCAGTTTAATCACATCCCATGTCACACCCTTTTCTCCAATGAATGCAAAACAAGTCTGAAAAACTTATTAAGATAAAATTTTCACAGATGAATTGTTATATGAGAGGAATAGGATAAAAAAATAAAAAAGACACTGAACATAGAATTGGGAACAATGTTATGGAATCATCCTTCTATAGCATGCATTCTCAACAGGTGCAAGAAAATTGGTTCTTGATGGAGGGGTCAAAAAATTTCCTCCTTTTATGTATAAAGCAGGTAGGTACAAATATATATATGATACATCTGTGGCACTAAAATGTTATGGGATAAAGAGAGTAGGAAAAAAATATATAAAAAGGCTCCTTAGGGAAACAATAATGAAAAAAAGGTTATGAAATACTGATGTACATGCATTCACAAGGAATTATATCTTAAGTAACTTGTCAGTTTTTTACCTCTCCATAGGCAATTTAAATTATAAAATTTCTTCCAAGAATTAATTATAAAGGTTTAATCAACTTCATCATAAGAATGAAAATATCATAATTTAGATTAGATATTTTAAGTATTATAGTGTAGGGACCAGGCACGGTGGCTCATGCCTGTAATCCCAGCACTTTGGGAGGCTGAGGTAGGGGGATCACCAGGTCGGGAGTTTAAGACCAGCCTGGCCAACATGGTGAAACCCCGTCTCTACCAACAATATAAAAATTAGCTGGGCATGATGGCAGGTGGCTGTAATTCCAGCTACTTGGAAGGCTGAGGCAGGAGAATTGCTTGAACCCGAGAGCTGAGGTTGCAGTGAGCCGAAATCTCGCCACTGCACTCCAGCCTGGACGACAGAGCAAGACTCCATCTCAAAAATAAATAAATAAATAAATATTATTGTGTACATGGTACCTAAATTATATATATTTAATATCATTTGACCATAGCATCATATACAGGTAAAATGAAAAAAAAGAAAAAAAAAAAACACCATTTCATCCAAAAGCAAATATAATCTAACTTGGTATTTGAAGTTTCTTTAGCAACTTTAAACATTAGTTAGAAATGTTTTCGGACTGGTGAATAAAGCACTCTAAAGAAATATGAAGTAGCAAAATCTAATCTGGATCTGTGGCAAAAACTGGATTGGAACAGCACTGCTTTGCTCTCCTGATTTAGATTCTATATGCTCTATAGTAATTTGCATATAACTCTATGGTGAGGACTAGGATACTGCACCTACCATACTTAGAACAGTGCCTCGCACACAATAAACATTAGCGCTTTTTGAGCGTTTATTATTGGAAAAGTCATCTAAGCTCTTCAGGCTTACATTTATTCATCTATAATGCAAAATTTTTAAATGACACAATCTTTAAAATGCTTTTAAGGTGGTAAAAAATATTTGCTAAGAACATATGTCTATACCAAATATTATGCTAGATACTGAGAGCAGACTGGCAAGTAAGAAAGATACAAACCATGCCCTCATGTACTTTACAATATGCTTTTCAAGTTCAATTATTCTATATTTGTGCTTATATTTGTCCCAGGGTACTAAACCGAAATACTAGATTTTGGTGAAGAATTAGAGTCTCTTCTGTTGAGCCTTTTCTTTTTGGCTAAATAGAGGAATGTAATAGAGACTGGGGGTGGGAGAATAGGTGTTAACGATGAAGTAAGCTGAGTTGGATTCAAACTGATGATATTCATAACTGCAATATTCAAAATATGGACCAATTATATAGTTTTTCAATATTATTCTAGGCATGAAAATGACTCTCTACTCAGCAGAAAATTAATTTGCCTTGAGGAAATATTAAATCTCATTAATTTTTTTGAGATCGAGTCTCGCTTTTGTCACCCAGACTAGAGTGTAATGACGTGATCTCAACTCACTGCAACCTCCACCTCTGGGTTCAAGCAATTCTCCTGCCTCAGCCTCCTGAGTAGCTGGGATTACAGGCGCCCGCCACCAAGCCAGGCTAACTTTTGTATTTTAAGTACAGATGGGGTTTCACCATGTTGACCAGGCTGATCTCAAACTCCTGACCTCAGGTGATCCACCTGCCTCGGCTTCCCAAAGTGCTGGGATTACACGCGTAAACCACCGTACCCGGCCTCATTAATTTTTTTAATACTCAGCAAAAGGGTGACCTTGGACAATTTACTTAGATTCTCTATGCACTGGCACTCTCAACTATAAAAGGGGACTAAAAGCACTTAATTTAGTGGATTGGCATCAAGATAAAATGAGTCTAGCCTCAGTGCTGGATTAAAAAAAAAAAAGTTAGCTTTCCTCCCTTTCCCTTCAGCTATAAGGTTTTATACTTGGGTTACATAGAATATTTGTTCCTCAAAAGTTTTTCCAATTCAAATTCAAGTAATGATAAGTGAAGAACACCTACCTGGACCTAGAATAAAACCTAATGCTTGACATGTGCTTATATTTGCCATGGAATTTGTTCTTTCCTGAAGGGAAGTAGCACCAGCAGTATATGATCGAATAACTGCTGCATTTCCTTAAAAGCAAGACACAATAATTCAAAGTAGAAGAAAGTATCATTCAGTTTATAAAATTCATTTAAATTTAACTTTATACAGAAGAACAAATCTTGGTCAATAGTATAGTCACTGCTTCCTTTTTACCTTTTTTGTTTTTGAGATGGAGTTTCACTCTTGCTACCCAGGCTGGAGTGCAATGGTGCGATCTCGGCTCACCGCAACCTCTGCCTCCTGGGTTCAGGCAATTCTCCTACCTCAACCTCCTGAGTAGCTGGGATTACAGGCACGCGCCACCATGCCCAGCTAATGTTTTTTGTATTTTAAGTAGAGACGGGGTTTCACCATGTTGACCAGGAT